AAAAAATACATTTTTTTTTTTTTTTTTTTTTTTTTTTTTTTTTTTTTTTTTTATACACCAGGCCCCTACTAAGAAAAATTTATCCTCCCCCCGCTAATGAACTAGCACCACCATTCCCAAGCGATCTCTGCTAGCCGGCCTTCTCGTCCGCGGATAATCCTTTTACCTGCGGGGGTCACCGTTTAGTAAACAAGTGTTATGGTGGTCAGCCATCGGAGCCCATTGGAGGGTCGTGTGTTTGTAGGGGGTGACGTCCTAATTGGCGGAACAACAAGTTCGACCCCCGCTAAATTCCGGGTCCCCGCGCTGTCTAGCAGAACCGATCAAAATTCACTTTTCGCGGGGCAATTCGACGATTACGAACGGGGAACGGATTAGAAAATAAGAGCGGTGCACGTATGGCTATTTAATAATCGGAAACGGTGATTATCTCGAAAAATAAAATCGAGAAGATCGCGATATCGCGAAAATTTTTGGTAGGTTTCGGGTACTGAACTTTTAGCGAGGGGGAAATATGTTTTTTTCGCCTATAGATATTGTTAAATAAAATTTTCGTAATTTTTGACTGCTAGAAAGTTGCAAAAATGTTGTAAACATTTTTGAAAAAGCGAAAAATTTGCTATTTTTTTGACAGCTTCACAAAATTGTTGATTTTTGATTCGAAAAACTTTGATAATTTTTTATGAACTTTTTTGTATCTAAAAACTGTGTAAAATGCTAGAAAAATGGTTTATATTTTATTATGAGGTCGTGCAGGATTACTGGGAAAAAATTAGTTGCCCTCCGCTAACAGTTTAGTACCCAGTTCCGCAATTCTGGATTCGAAATTGCGAGGTGGCAATACTTTACAGCCGCCACGTCTGCTACAGACCAACAAGTTCAAGGAGTGTAAGCGGCTAAAACGGCCTAAAAGTGCTGCCCAGGGTGAACTGAACAAAGTGGTCAACGTGTGCGCAACAGCGTCTAATGTCCAGACGACACAATCCACTCAATTCCGAAAACTGGAAACTCTAGGCTACTAGCCGAGCAAGAGTTGTCTGTTTTGGCCGCGCTGGTCGACCATCCTAAAGATTCGACAAGTTCCGGTCTGATCGGCGAGCCGATTTGGCATTTGAGCAATCGGGGGGCAGCGGTGAGGCTCAAAAAACACGAGCCGAAAAATTTGATTTTTCTATGGTGAGAGCACGGCGCGGCGACCTACCGCTCCAAAATTGGAATAAAACCGGGGAAGCGGAACGAAAGCTGTTTAGAATTTATACTATTAAAGCCTCACGGTTTACTTGAAAAGACCCTGGAAATTCTAAAATTAAGTAGCAATTTTGAGGAGGAAAACTACATAAAAAGGAAAGTTACGTCTTCTATACATGTAAGTTTCTACAATTCTTAAGCGCAAAAAATCTTTTAATATAGAATTTTCGACAAAACCTACTAAAAAATTCTTCAGTTTTTTGGTGAGTGTTTTTCTCCAACAAATATCGTAAAATTCGAAAGTTGCCCCCTCCCCCGATAATGCAAAAGAACCGAAGAAGATGTTAAAACCAGAACAAACCGTTTTAAGCAAAGTGAAGGTACGTTTTCGACAAGACAAGAAAATTAACCTAAAAACCCACAAAACCACCATAGCCAGACTGAGTCCCCGTGCAGCCCATATGCGGGACGTCCCCAGCCTTTTTCCGCCGGCGCGTCTCGCCCGTGACGTCAAAGTGTACGGTAGCCCACGGGAGTGGGGCTACGCCGTACTCCGCTGGACATCCCCCCGGCCGAACCGGTTTTCGCGTAGCTGGCCCGGCTGCGAAAAAAGGATTTGAGGGGGGATTTCGTGGTGGTCTGCATCACAGGTTCCTCGTCCCTGGAAAAAGTATCCGAAAAGAGCTGTTGATGGGTGACGACGGAGCGCGCCTGGGGGTACGGTAGCGTCACTGGGAGCTTGGCGAACTTCTGGCGCGTCAAGTTCAGGCATCAGATTTGGTTCTGCATGACTACGCGGATCTGATCTAAACAAACAAAAATAGCCAAGGGGTTTCTGAGGCTCTGGATCGTTATAGGGGGAGGGCAAAATTTGGTACTGGACTCTTAGCGGGGGAACTAATTTTTATTTTTCCGTCTACACTGACCTGTTCATAAAAAATGGTTTTTTATAAAATTTTTAGTAGGTTTTGACTGCTAGAAAGTTACAAAAAACGTTTTAAACATTTTTGAAAACTCGAAAATTTTTACTTTGGCCATTTTTGAACACAAAGTCCAAAAATTTTCGGAAATTTTAGTTATTCTCTTATGAGTTTTTTGTATCTAAAAACGCTGTAAAAATGCGATAAAAACGGGTTGTATTTTGTTATACATAGCTCCGCACAGAATTACAAAGCTTAAAATTCTCCGCCCCCCCGTTAGTGATCCAGCACCGATTCCCTAATCATCATAATCCCGAGAATCTAGCCTAGACTTGGACTTTGGCCTTGACCACGCTGCAAGCTCAAAAAACTAGACCCAGCAGCTTCTCTCATTTGCCACTTTCCCATGCTCCCGAGGTTGGCGCTCGGCCAGGCTTCTCCCTCATAGTCAGTGCGCTGTTTCTCCTCATCATCGCTGCAAGGAGTGACCCGGGTAAACTTTGCACCCGCTGCCCCTAAATCATGGAATTTTGTCGCAAAAAGGATCTATATGGTCGCAATCTTTGCATCCACTCGACAGCCCCGCTGACCTCCCTAACCCGGAGTCAATTTGTGACGTAGCAGACCCCCCTCCCCGCCTCAAAAAGGACCTCACGTCCTAATCGGCTGCAAAGAGCACCATCAACACTGAAATATCGGTGTTTTCGACGGCTCAACAATCCGACGTGACCCTGGGCTGGTCAAAAACGATGCCAAACTGGGTGCTACGTAGAATGTGACTGAGGGTTCGGAAAATCAAACTATAAAAAAGGTAAAAACGCAGGTAAAAACTAAATCAGTATAATGCGCAGTCGCGGTAGTGAATAACGACAAATAAATGAAAATCCCATAGACATTTGCGTCCAGAAGGCAAACTCCAACGAAAATTACTCTAAACGAAATCACTAGCGCGTTGGAAGGTTAAGTAAACAACCAAAAAAGGATAAAGCGCACTCTACGTTGTGAATAACTGCTAATAAATGCAAAACACCTAAAAAGCAACATCCAATAAGACATTTTCACGGAAAACTAACCTCACCGAAATCACTTTTATGCGGCGAAACGTACTTTTCCCCCAAATCCATCACCGGAAACAAATACCGAAAAATAGCCCTAAAACATCGGAAAAGGAGATATCATATTTGCCTCAAATGCCCTCAAAATGTCGGGTTGAAAACCGGCTTGTCCTCAAAAATGGGAAAATACACGGCGAGCCGCCCTGATCCGAGGAGCTCCAAAACACGGAGCACCGGCAAAAGGGAGGTGATAGCCCGCGAAATGAGGGTCGACTGTTACAAATCGCGCGGGCGGGGCCGACCGGGCCGTGGCATTGCGGAAAAAAATTTGGGGGCGCAGCGCGCGAGATCCACGAATTCGCCACCTCGTATATCCCGATCCCGACCCCCGAAAATAGAGGGAAATATGAGGCGGCGGCCGGGCCCCGAGTGGAAACGGATGAAAGCTGCAAGGCGGGGATGAGGAATGGCGGGGGGAGGCCTTGAACTGGAGGCCGATGAGGGAGGATCTAGCCCGAAATATTGCCACGATAACGCTGATACCACTCGGTCACGGGATCCAGCGTCTGACCCTCAAAAAGGCTGCGCGATTAGGTGGAATGTACAAATCTGGAATAGGATACAGCAAAAACAAGTTAGAAAGTCATGTTCAGGCGCGCGGGCAACCCTAGAAATATTTATTTCGCCTGCAATCCCATTTTTCCAACTGTAGGAATACAAAAAAGCAGTTCTCGTCGTCCAAAATTCAAAGTTACTAAATGCGCCACTTCTAGAAAATACGGTAACATTATAATATCATTATACATTATAAAACATTATAAAACACTATCCGCGTACAGGCCCGCCGAACGGCCCCACGACGATGACTTATTTCCGCCAAAGGTGCGGCCGCAAAGACGGAACACCCGAAAGCACACAAACAAAAAAGATACCCCCACATCAAGCACCACCCGTTTTTTTGGCGCGGAAGTTGGAACTCAAATACCCGACTTGCTCCCCTGAACCTTCTGACGTCGACGGGCTTCTAAGCGATTCGTAGAGGTGGCGCCTTCGCGAGCGCATCTGCCAAGGCCAACGGCTCACTTCCGCACGAGCAGCCCAGGCATACGCGAACAGCTGAAGCCGCCTCCATTCCATTGTTTCATGCTGGGCGAGAAGACAAAAATCACACTAAAAGATAGTAGAAAAGCTTTTAAAATGCCATGTCAAAATGTCTAACTTTAAGAACACTGTTTACTAGAAATTTTTCTGACAATGCGAGTAAGTGCAACCGACCTTGCCGAACTTTGTATTTGGGGTTTTTTAGTGTTTCATTTGGCTATGGCGAGCGTAATCGCGAATATTCAGCCAGCAGGGATTTGTTAAGAAAACATGATTTTCTTCTTCTACCGTTACCCTGGAGAGGAGAAACTACAACTAGACCTATAGATTTTCGCAAATTGTCCCATGGGCCCAGCTATTTTGCTCTTCTCATTTTGAAAAGAAAGAAAACCTTTTAAATCTCATTTTGCCCGCATCGGTTGGCATGCCGTGCTTGCTCGATGTCGCACATCTGGAGTCGTGGAAGAATCCTAAAAAAGGTGGGCGGAGAAGTTGAAAAGTCGACAACTAACCGCTATCGATCCGCGAGCGGCTTAGTACCACGCTTCGAAGGAGAAGCTTCTCCTTTTGCAGAAACCAGCATGTAGCCGTAGCCATTAAAAAATTCAGTACGTTTATTACACCTTACAAAGTTTCGTATGCCGTTGTTGACTGGAAAATGTAGATAGGAGCCTATCGGAACAGGTTGGGGAGCAAAAGATTTTCAAACTTTTCAAGACCTTTCAAAAGTTCCAAAATGAAGCTCTTCTCACTACAAGTTTTCTACAAAGATGAAATATCAAGTCAGGTAACGATATCCTTTCAATATTTATTCCCTTGCAGGCTACACTATTGAAAGGAGCCTATGATCTCTCTTCCTTCACCTTTTTCAAGCGCAGCTCTGTTCAGGTTCACTTACTTTCTTTAGTCAATTTTTGTTCAGGATTTTATAATTTTCACCGCGAAGCTACTCGTCGAACGCGCGAATAAGGGCACCCGAACGACGGTTGCAGGTTTAATTTTACGACTTTGCGACTCTAGAGCCCTTTTATTCCAGAACAAGAATACCGTCTCCACACGTACGTGCGCGCTGACGGCTTGTCTGCTGTTTGTACGACAGACAGCGAATATCAACAACGAGTTGGTATCTATTAAAGGATTATACTTATTCCCAGGTCGCCTTTACGATGCTGATGCGCGTGTTAGATGATTTTGCAATGAGGGTACCTCGTCGACATTGGGTTCGCGCAATTTTTTTGAGTTCAAACATTTGTTTAGGCAGTAATCAAAAGCGATAGAGAGTGCCACTACGACCAACTGCCGGTGCAGCTGACTAAATGGCAAAACCCAAGTACATCCGATGCGATGACGCGTGTTCAGGTTTGGTTTTCGGCTTTCGTATTTATATTGATTCTGTACAGGAAGAAGTGGAAGAGACAAAACTTGTCATGCACAGCACGATCCAAGCGCTACTCGACCGCGGCGAGAAACTCGACGATCTGGTGTCAAAGAGTGAAACGTTATCTGAACAGGTGTTTTGTTTGTAAAGTTTCATATCGGTTTTAGAGCAAAATGTTCTACACGAGTGCCCGCAAGATGAACAAGTGTTGCAGCTATGTTTAAAGCAGCAGTTCGTTTCTGATTGATCTACTTGTCTTTCCAATGCCTGCTAGGTAGGCTGCCGATTCTGTACTCATTTCTGTGATTTACTTTTGTGTCTTCCTGAATAACATTTTCCAATCAATTGCGTTTTTGAATGATACAAAAAGTCTTTTAATATTATAATGTAAATCCAAAAAACTGTTCACAAAAGTCTTCAAACACGGTGGCCCCTTTCTAAATCCTAATGTCCGGTGTTATGGACCGTGTCGGGGGGATCTCAAAGGTTTTCCAGCGGAAACCGGAACCGGCCCTTTGCGGGGGGTGAGAGGAGGACAAGGACGAAAGAAACAAACAAACAAACAGGCACGCACGGACGAGGCCCCCACTTGGCCCCACAAGGATCGCTTGCCGCGAAGGGGTGCGATGAACGATCATCTGTTGTGACGGCATACAGCCAGCCGGAAAGGAATGATGCCATGGCTAGTTTATTGGGTAGAATGCTCGCCAGTATTAGAATTATTGCGTCAAAATTTACTGCGGACTTTGGCAAAATGTGAGAGTACGGATAAGGACTCGACGTAGTTTTATCTGGTAAGCGACTGTACTGGACTACTAGCGGGGGAAACGGATTTTATGTTTCCGCCTATACCTGTTCATAAGTAATAGTGTATTGGTATATTACTTTGCTAATTTTTTATTACTAGAAAATTACAAAAACATATTTGAAAAATGGAAAATTTTGAAGTTTTTGGTTATCTTCATAAATCTTTGAACAAAACGTCAAAAATTGTTGCTGATTTTTGTTAGTTTTAGGAGCTTTTATATCTAAAAACTTTGTAAAGTGCTAGAAAACTGGTTTATATTTTCTTATAGGAACGTACAAGATTATTAAGACAATTAGTTCCCCCCTGCCAACGGTCCAGTACCCAGGCTCTGCCTACCAACCGTTCCCGATTTACAAAAATGAGGGTGTTCTTTGAAGCCGGCCTCATTCCACGCCGACTTAGGCGACAGTCCCCCCCGCGGCGCAGGCATCACCCAGCGGGCGGCGGCAAGGCAGATTAGCGGAGCATGGGTGGCACACAGTGTGTGGACTGTTCCCGGGGCCCTTCTCTGAAATATTTGCGCCGTCTCCGCATGCGCTGCCGCGCGCCCTCAGCCCTCTCGGCAAATACCCTTCGCCCCCCACCAACTACAAGTCATACAGCTTCTTGAAGACCATAGGGGAGCGAGAGAGTGTGAGAAGACGTTGAGAAGGCAGACACAAACACCTCGGCACTTGTCTCGAAACGGATTGGCAAGGCTGTGGGCCTGGGTACACATCACGGAGGTACAGGCTGGGGTGGCAGTAGCAGCGAAGAAGCGGAGTGTAGGTTGTTAGCACGCGCGGATCAGGAGGGCGTTTGTCTTGTTTCACTGGGGGGCGGAGGTGCTTAGTGGTGCGCCACACTGGAAAGCGCATTTTACACCGATTTGCAGCATTTTAGGCCTGAAGCTGGCGGTGGGCATCGGGCGCTGAAAGGTCTTTGTAATTTTGTATTTCGTGCACTTTTCTGGGGCTTTCTAAATCATAATTACTGATTTAGGTGGACTAACCGGTACTGGGCTGTTAGCGGCATTTTAGACAGTTTTTCAACAATATTTTTGGTCGTTTTTTTATTACAAAAAGCCACAAAAACATTTTTAGAAAATTTGAAAAATATTAAGAAAATAGAAATTTTCAAATTAGCCAACAAGCGCTTTTACTCATGCTTGCTATACGTTTTCTTCACGATCCCGATGTTCATTATGCCGATTTTGATAGTATACTGGTACATCCAACCTTTTCCGGAACTACAAAAAAGAAAGAAAGTAACAAAAAGGAAATAGGTAATAAAAACGGAATAATGAAAATTCGGAGCGAGATAGCCAACTTTTAAATTTAATTTTTAACCATTTTTATAAAGCTCCCGAATTTTCTGCAGTCTGTGAAGCCCTTAAAGTGTCCCCGTGTCGCCCCGAGCACCGCAGAAAATGTTTCGCATTTTCTCGGGCGCTTTCGACCGTTCATGCACCACTCTCAGTCGGCACCTCGAGAGCCCCACGCACCCTTCCCTCCCAACCAACACCACCACCACCATCTCTCCTCCATCCATCCAGAATACACACAACTGGCACCAAGTTGCCCGGCTAACACTGTGTGCCCGGCCATGCTGCTGTCAAATCACGGCTTTGAACGGATGCGGCTGGTTTTGATGACTTGAGGGTTTTTGGCTGGGTGTTCTCAGGTCTGAAGACTTTTGTCAAACCTGCTGTTTCCTAGTTCCAGTTTCTATTCTGATCATAGGCGGATTTTTCTTGAATTTCAATCTATTTAAATTCACGCATTAAAATTATATTTCGTGCTTCTAAAAAGTTTTTTACTCTTCCTAAACGTAAGCACCTTACAAATTTTTATTAAAAAAAAATAGATTTCTCGAACAAAAACGCCGTTTTGACCAAAATTTAGATTTTTTCAAAAGCTTTCAAATTTTTTGGATAGTTCTTCTAGTTAAAATATAGTTTTATCTGACTAAAAGCATGACTAAAAACAAATACGTGCTCTTAAGTTACTAGGCATTTCTAGACTAATACAAAAAAATTTATCACCCCTCCCCCCGATAATGCGAAAGAACCCAAAGTCATGTAAGCTTCACTTATTAGGACCAAAACCACTTCAGGTCCAAAGCACAGCACGACCAATCCCCTCATCGGTTACCGATCGCCCCGGGTGGCCGATTGTTTTTTCCCGCTGACCGGCTCGGATTGGGCCCCGTGCAGGGTATTGGTCCGTAATCGGGCTGGGCCCTAAGCGGCACGCGGACTGCAGCAGACCCCCCGCGTCCGGATGGCGCGAGGGAGGGTCCTTCGCTCGACGTACCCGCGCACCGGGCCAGCTTACAATTGATTAGAGCCGGAGATGGGGTTGGCTGGGCCCTGGAGAGAACCGGATTCTCACGCTGCGCCCCCGTGCATCCCGAAGTCACCCAGACTGGCGCGCGACCCCGGCATTGTGCCCCGGCGCGCAACGCCCTCTCTTCTGCGCGATCAACTTTTAGCATACAACAGGGCCACTCAACCTCTTGATGAATGGCTGGGTGTCTTTTTTTTGCCGTCGACACCTTCTCTAGGGAATTGTGGAACGCCTGGGCGTGATTTTTATAATTTGGGGTAAGCTGGGGCTGAGCTTTTGAAGCTTTATCCTGTGGCTTTTGCCGATCCCCGGCTTTTACTTTCGTATGTAGAGCTTTTAGCGGCTTTTATTATTGTAGTCATCGTTTGAAGCTCGATCTTTAAAGCTACGAGTGGGCTTCGGATTTTTTCAAGGGCACCTATAGGTAGTGGTTTACTGCTACGCGACGCGAGCACCTATTGACTCTCTCTCTCCGTCTCTCTCTCTCTCTCTTTTCTCTAGTCTCTCTGCGTAATTAGGCGCGCCCGTATTTTACGAGGTGCCTGAACGTCTTTAGCAGTTTATATATCCGCATCATTGGTGCTTTAAGGTATTCGATTGAAGCTTTAGTGAATTTTTTTCGCTTTTGTTTTTGTTTTACCCGCTTGCTGAATTTTAGGCTTTTCCTTTAATATGAATTGGCCAATGGAACCTTGCTGTATGCTTGTTTATTAGATTTTATCAATGCTTAAAATCAGCAGAGCTGGCTCTTTTGAGCTGGCAGAGCCGGTTTTGAGCTTTTTCATCTTTCCTTTTTCTGGAAACTCAAAAGAATTTCGAGCTAAGGCCGCAGTCCTAGATGTTTTTGTTTCCAATGCTGAAGTTTTTCTTGCTAGAAAGGCATGGGCTTCAATGTATATTTTTATTGTCAAGCCTTGCGATTTTCTAGAATTCATCGCCATATGAGAATACAGATTTTTTTTTAATGATAAATCCCGTTCGGAACCGTGTTGCAATCTGCATTTCCGCTCTCAATGCCCGCTGGCGGGGGGTATCACCCCCGGGGCGGTGTCCCCTTTTGTCTCCGATTTGGAATGGCTTGATTTGGAGGGATCTGGCTGCGGGTGGTGGGCCCTCTCTACCATCCAGGAAGGGCCCATCCACAATGTGGCCCACAGCTCCGCCACGAACATCCTTTCTCCGCCCGAATCCCGCGTCACGTTTTGGGGGCGCCCTCAAGCGGCCATGCGTGGAATCTCGGCTTTTTTTGAGGTGTTTCGGAATTGGGCAATTTGAGAGGCTTCGAGTCGCTTGGGAAACTAGGATTAGGCTAGGAAAAAAATTATGTTTTTGTTTTCGTTCGGTACTTTCGCATTATCGGGGGGATTTAACGGGGGAAGGACAATTTTTCTTAGGAACGAATTTTGTGAATATAAATAGCGGAAGTGTGTCTAGGCTGTTTTTTTACTATTGCTGAACGTCAAAACTGTACAAATGTTTATTACAAAGGTACAAAAAAGTAGCAATTTTTCGGCCAAATATGACCATTTTTTGACCAAAGCTTCGATTTTCTTAAACACTTTTCAAAATTTTTAGATAGTTTTTCTAGTTAAAATATAGTTTTATTTACTGAAAAAAAATTATCGAGATACTTCCTATTCAGTTACTAGGCATTCCTTGATTAATACAAAAAAATTTTCCCCCCGATAATGCTAAAGAACTTTATCTAAGAATCTCTAATGCAGTCTTTCCACGCCATCTTCAACTACATATACATACCTTTCGATCTGACGAGTCTCTTCTTTTTCTCGTCTATAAATCTTTCGAATTATTCTCCTTTAGTTCGTGATTTGTAGCTTTTTGTAGCACTGTAATTTTTAACGAGGAGTTGCTTGGTCCCTCCCGCTAACGAACCAGAACCGTTTCTGGACGTAACGTGACCGATCCCATTACAATCCACCTTCTTACCTCTTGTTATGCTCGGATTTGTTCGCCTTTTTCGGGGGGAGGATCCGAGCCCCGCGGGGGTAGAACCCCTGCTGCTGGTAGAGAGAGAGAGAGAGAGAGAGAGAGAGAGAGAGCTCGTGTGTGGCTGTCAAATGCCCTA